ATAAATTAACAACATTGACTCAAGAAGAGAGATAAGACAGTAACTATAAAATTTGAAAGATAATATTTTTCAAATATAACCCCGTTGCCCCAGAGGCATCTAGGCTCAGATGGTTTTATGGTTTATGTGTTCTGTTTTCCAGGACCAAAATAAAGAAGGTAGAATAGGCTTTCCTGTTTATTCCACGAGCTTACTGATACTAAAATATTAGCATAAAAAATATAATAGATTGCAATTTCACATAATAATATAAATACAGAAATCCTAAATAAAATCTGAAAAAGGAAGTACAGAAATGTGCTCTAAAATATGATTAAGGAATATGAGTGATTTAATATTAGGAAGTATGTTAATTTATGTTAATAGATTAGAAAAGAACAATATTATTTCAAGTGTATGAAAAAGGCATGTGATAGATTTTAATTGTCATACTTCCTACAAAGTTGTAGAAAACTAGAATAGGAAGTTTTAAAATTTATTAAGGAAATCTATTAGGATCTTATTAATATGGGAAATAAGATATGTATAGCCTGTTTTTGTTACGAGTAATTTGGAAGTTTTAAACAATGTGCTTTAAAAGGAGTTATAGAGGGCGCCTCGGTGGCTCAGTTGGTTAGGTGTCTACCTTTGGCTCAGGTCATGATCCCGGGGTCCTGGATTGGGTCCTGCATCAGGCTCCCTGTTCAGCAGGAGCCTGCTTCTCCCGCTCCTTCTGCTTGTGCTCTCTGTGTGTCAAATAAATAAATAAAATCTTAAAAAAAAAAAAGGAGTTATAGAAGTTTATGGAAGGGGCAAAATTATAATTGTTTTTGCTTACCAGGTAATATGTTTGCTTACCAGAAAACTTAAGGAAATCAACTGAAAGGCTACTCTGGTATCATATAAGATAAATGCGTAAAAATCAGTATCTTTCTTATATTCTAGCAACGGATTTTATTTATAGTTTCTTCCAAACCCATTTAACCTTTTATCCTGACAAGAAACACACACACACACACACACACACACACACATATGCATGTGAAACTTCACTGAAGGAAATACAAGAGCTGAGTAAAATAAAATGAGAGAATGCCATAATCCTCTTTAAAAGGACTCGGTACTGTAACAGTTTTAATTTACGTCCAGATTTATTAATTCACTGCAACCCTGTTCAAAACCCTAAACACTTGCTATGAAAACCAAGAAGTTGATTTTAAACTTGGGCGTAAAATGGGGCACCTGGCTGGCTTAGTCAGTAGAACATCCAATGCTTGATCTGGGGTTGTGAGTTCAAGCCCCAAGTCAGGTGTAGAGATTACTTAAAAATAAAAAAA